TCCTTGACTTCATGGAACATTTTTGATAGCTGTGTTCTAATTAAATAGCATTATTCAAATATAATAAATTTTATAACCATCACTTAACATTGACTGCTTGGGATTTTAATAGCTCTCTGTCACCTTCAAATATCTCTTAAAAAGTATAATCAATTTTACATCCTAGCTTCCTAGCTGATGTTTGACTATTGAAACTCACCCTATTTTGGTATCATGCAAGAATATATCACTGTAAAACATAATCCCTAGACAGGTAGCATTCCTCCATGCTGCTAGCAAAATCAATGCAACTAGAGAAGGCTTGCAGGTACCTGCAAGAGGTGCATGACATTCCTTCAGCAGGTATTAAATCAAGTGAAAGAATGTAATATTTCCATCAGTGAGTAAAATTCACTGAATTGTGCTGGAAATAACTTGTGGATGTAATTCAGCTTTTACCCAATACCCTCATACTAACATTATTCCCTTGAGATGAAAGAATGCTGTTTATAATTCTGCTCTTACCCAGTACTCTCATACTAACTTTATTCCCTTGAGATGAAAAATGCTGTTTAAAATATTTCAGAAATCTAGTACTTTCCATCTCCCCAGCCACAAGGGGACTGTGGCACAGCATATGTTCGTTTTCTCCTTTTGATACTCCTTTAAAGAATTCTATTTTCATTGCAGTTGAGATTGGAACTTAGTGTGTCCCATCTTCCAGGTGCACTAATTACTTACCTAGATAATCTCTCTAACACTCAGTGAAAATTTAAGTAGTTCTATAAAATGGATCAACCTGCAAAACCCATTTTAGCACAGGTTGTTTCCCTAATTGGCTTGAACTTAACTGGGGGGGGGAGGGAAGGAAGGAGAAGAAAAAAGATAACACTTTCCTTATCTCTCTCAAAAGATAAAACTAATACAGTTTTTATATAAAATTTTTTCACTTGAGTTATAATAAAACATCAGTATAAGATAAACATAGTGGCTACAGCAAGGCTTAAGGTGTAGATAACCTGGATTGATTCCTTCCTCTGCCAGTAAGAACTGAATTGTGGGTGGTACTTTCCAGAAGAATGTCCCAACTTAAATGGGATTTTTTGCACATCCGTCTTAGTACTTACAATGGCTGTGGGTAATAGAAAAATTAAGCATATCTGGTGAATGATGCAGTTTTAAATCCATAAATATTATGTCAATTTTAATAGACATTTTTATTATGAATTTTTTGTAATAACCACTTTTTACAGAGAAAATAACAAAGCAAAGCAAATACCAGTTTCAGTAAGTCACTGACCTAAACACCTAAACCAAGTGTCTGGACTGGTTCTGGACCGGTGTTTTTGTAATTAATACTCTACGCTGCAATGTGTTGACACCGGTGATTTATTACAACTCTTACTTTAAAGCTATAAGCAGATTTATAGACTGTGGAAAGGTAGAAATGGCACATTATAAATGAGGTTTTTTAGTTTTCTACAGAAAAAAATGTCTTATTACTATGTGTATATTAAAATGGTTTCTAGTATAATTTTCTGGTAGCCTTGGGGAAACTAATAGCAGCATATGAGAACTTTAATGCCAATTTCATTTAGAGTAGAAAGAGGTTAGTTGTCTGTGCAGGAGGCAAGGGAAAGGAATTTATGGTTATAGACAAAACAATTCCAAGGACCTAATATCTAGTATTCTAATCCTAACTTTTTTCTTTCCTTTTTTTTTTTCATGCAAGTAATCCCACTTTCAAATACATATATTCAAAATAAGGGAAATTTTTGAGTGGCATTTAGGCAGATCACAGACCGTAGAATGGACCTGGCTTATGGCCACTCAGACAAAAAAGGATGTTTTTCAGACGCTAGTGTATATGGTTCAATTCTTCTTGGAACTCCTTGGGTGTCCCAGGAAATTATAAATTCTCAGTGAAAACCTATTCCTTCTATTCTTCTGCTTCTCATCAAAAGGTCTTGACATCTCATCTTTAAAATAGCAACATAAACATTTGTATGAAAGGCATGACAATTTGGGAAAACGCTTCTATGGAAGCTGTTTCTTAACATGGTTTTCAGAAGGTCTCTTTAGAATAAATTGTTTTGTTCTGATGGGATTTATGCTGCACAGCGCTGATGGTTAAGTGCTTAATGGAGTATCTCCATGGGCTCTATTACTGTTGAACAAGACACAGAAGTTGAAGAAACACTAAATAAAAGACTATGCTGAATACAGGAATAAAAGTGAAGAGGATAAGTTTTATCTTATATTTACAAGCGTTGTGTTCCAGGAAGAGGCATTCAGATATCACTTATTTTATGGCCATAACTAGGTCTGAAGCTGTTGATATTTTTAATTTTTTTTTTAACTCAGGGTGAGAAATTTTAATAGGTTGCACTCCATGAAAAAATGTGTCATATGAGTCATATACTTTTAAAAAGAGAGCGAAAACTATATACAGAATACAGAAGACTCTGAATGAAGATAACAAGCTAGTTTTACCATTCTAAGGAGCTTAATCTTTCATAAAAGACCGTATAATGGCTGCACCTGGAATAGGAAGGAGCCTACTGCAATTAGCTATTGAAATAGCACCTGGATTTTTGCTATACAAAGGAAGGAAACTAGTCTGGATTTAATCTTCTAGCAAGTAGGCAGTCCTATGATAGTGGAAGATCAAAATACAAAGAAACTAGAGATAAGAGGGGGGAAAAACTCAACACAGTTCAGCACCAAAATTCACAGAAAAAAAAAAAAAAAAAAAAAAAAAAAAGAAGGGATTTGGATTGTATTTGCTATTGCAAAAAAACCCCAGTTGATATCCAGCAATAAGATTCAAGAACTGCAATAGATTTCAGTGTTGCATGTAACAAACATAGATGATGTGGCCAAAAAGTGTTAACATACACTATAAATATAGGCTAAGAAAATTAATAGGCCTATGCTGGAAGCACAGGAAACATGGCCCAGTGAGCAAAGGAAGTGTACATAGTTCACATTGACTGGAAACACATAGCCAAGAACTAGGGATTTTTCCTTTTAAGAATTGCTTACTGAAATGATTCTGGAGGCTTGATGCCACATTGATGTAGGAAGAAACAGGATGCATGTAGCCAGAAAAGGAGCTAAAGTTATAGGGAAACGTAAAAGATGCACTAAACTGAATTTACAAGAAACGCATAAAGACTGCATCTTGACTAGAATGCTGGGAGACAAGGGGTGAGAAGTTTAAAAGTAGTAATGCCATGTGAAAGTACTTCAGGCAAGAGTAAAAGCTTGAGTTTACTATTGAAGATTATTGAGAAAGAGTAGATAGCAAAAGCAATGATATAGCAAAATAAGTTTTCCTTCAAAAAAATGTATGTCAACAAAAAGTTTGGAAAATACAAGAAACTTTGGTTTCAGAAACTGTTTCTAAAATGCATCAGTAGTACATCTACTATACGTTTTTTTAAGTCTTGAATGAGTAAAGAAAGAGTGAATTATCATTCAGCTTTAAAACCTCTGAAGCAACCTCTTATCCCAACAACTGAAGTATGCTGCTGTGGCCCCTCACAGCAGTATCCTCCCATTGAATGACTTTTATGTATACACAAATATATATTTTATATATATATATATGTAGATCTTGTCCTGATACATTGTTTAAAGCATTAGAAAAATGTCTCAGATGACATTCCCACAGTGAAGTGGGATCATGTTTGCTCCCAAAATGGAAAAGCGACGATTTGTCATAATAATTTCTATGGGTCACAAGACCCCGTACTTTGAGGTTTTTTGACAACTGGTTTCCGTCATTTAAATTTAATTTAAATAGTTTAAGTCTACTAACTTCCAAATATTTCTTGTGTTTGTCTTCAAGTTGTTCAGCATTGCAGCACAAAATATGGGCTATGGAATTTGTGCTGCAGATAATTGATGGTGCTGCCATGGGGTCCAAAATATCTTCCCATATACATATGGCTTTTATGCCATTTTACTTCTGAAATTTGTTTTAAATAATGATTCTGACAGCTCTCATTTTTCCTTTGTTAGATCTTAGTGACTGTTATTGGATATTTATTTTTAGAAGCACAAACATATTACAAAAAATACATAAGCCTGTTGAGGATGAATAAAATATCTCCATAGTAACATTCCAGATAGAGATGTATGACTGGTTGTAGACAGACTGACAAACTTCGGCCCTAATTCTGCTTCAGGATTTGTTAGCGTAGTCTCCTGGGCCTAAAAGTGACTTCAGAAGTGAAAAGCCCTCTTTTTCTCTCCTCTGTAGTTATTTGGCAGCAATGATCGATTTTTTCCAGATGTGGATAAATATGAAAGTTTATTTTATTAGTTTTTATATAATCAGCTGCAAATGCAATCAAGAACATCCCCTCAAGGCAAATGAATATTTTGGCTTTGCTTGTTTTTTCACAGAAGAAATCCTAACATAATCATGAACTTTAGGCTTATTTTATAATACATTTCAATGATATCTTAAATAGTTTGATTTTAAATGAGTAATTAATATTGATGTTCAAATGGTGCAACAGAAGTTCTCATCTGCAGGATAATATTCATGGTAATAAAAAAGATCATGTTAGATTTTAAAGGTACAGGTTCTTTTTTTTCTCTTGGCATTAGTGTACCCACACCCAGTACTGTGTTACGCATAGCCACTTGTGTAATCAGGAGCCATTTCCCAGGCTCACCTGTGTAAACATGAGTGAAGTTAAATTCCCTCCGCTTCCTTGCAGTTTGCATTGAAGCTTGTATAACTTACTTGGTGTTTATGTATTTTATCAGTTATCTATGTCAAGCTTTCATACACAAATCAGAGAAAAACATGCAAGAAGCTATGCTTTTTAAAGCTAAAAGACACCGTGTGTACAGTATAGCAAATTAGATGGTTTTAAAATCCACCCTTGAAATAGATGTGATTTCTATTCCATTCATCTAACAGTTCTGTATTCCAAGGGAACCTGGTGATAAACAGTAGTTAGTTACAGACGAGTCATAATTATGTTCTTTCTCTCTTGTTTAAGTTGTTCGAGTTCATGAATTTTTTGGCTGAGAATGTCATCTTCTGTTACATGGGACTCGCACTATTCACGTTTCAAAATCATATCTTCAATCCTCTTTTTATATTTGGTGCATTTGTATCCTTTGCTTTAAAGAAGTATATATCTATGTACAGGTATATATATATTTTTATAAATATATAAAGAATGTGTGCTTCATGTGGAAAAAAAAGTCAATAAGCAAACCAATCAGTTCCTTAAATACTAAAAATCAATTTTTTGTCAAGTCCAAAGCCAATCATCTTTATTAAATGTATTATTATAATACATGTAAGCACATGGTCTTTTGACAGTTGCTGTTTTGCACGTCTGCTACGAAGCAAATAGCTTTAAACCAGCTGGGGAACTTTTGCCACTGGCATACAAATGGGATGAGAAATTGAGGGGTGTATAGGGACACATCTGTCCAGAACTAGCGCAGATCCACAAACTGTAGAGCTGCCTCCAGACGGGTATGTGCCATAAGCAGAACTTCCCCAAAGCTACTTAAATGATACTAAGTCCTTAAAAAGCAAACAGTTCTGCGTTGCTTGGATCTTTCCTTCTTTGTATTTGATCTCTCTAGTATACATGGATTTATTTACACCATCATGTGCCTAAGAGACTGGTAAGAAAAAGGGCCTGTGTCTTTAATTCTGCCATGGTTTCTCAACAAGTTCTTTGCTTACTTTGTACAGTGGTCTCGATTCTTTTCGTGCTGACAATTTACACAATTATTTTTCTGGCTCAGAGCAACAGCCCTTTGCTTATCGCTTTTTGATGAACTGTAATAGCTTTGAAAGTTGGGATCATATTGTTTACATGCAGTAATTCTTATATGTAATTTCCAAATGAATAATAAGAACTGCATCACAGCTCCCTTGGCTACAGGTTGGGTTAGGTGGCGGAGAGGACACCGAGAGCCTATTGCTCACACACACACACACCCCAAGGCAAGTGCACTCCCAGTGTGGGAAGGCGGTTGAACACAAGAGCAGCACTCAGCACCCCAGACCTGGCTCTGTCGTTCCCTCGCACAAAGAGCCAGGGCATGTGAAGCAGCCGCTGCTAATGCATGTTCTCTCAAGCCCACAGGAGCTGTAAGCTGCCCTTTGGCCCAGCAGATACAACACATACAGATGTTGCCACTCAAGTACTTCGTCTACTCTACAGTCCGCAGCATGTCTCAGACTGAGTGCCGTAATTGAGCCCTAAGAGTCATGAGGCAAGGGGAGGACAGAACCTGCTAAAAGCATGTATAAGAAGTTCTGATTGTCTTTTTTTTAAATCTGCAATAGCCTCATGTTTCTAACTAAGGCAACTTTAGTGATCATTCCATAGAGAAGTCATAAACAACTTTCAAAAAAAATCTCTAAATAAAAACAACATTAAAAAAAAAAAAAAGCACAGAGACCAATGGATATAGACAATATGAATTGTCAGGAAATAAGAAAGTAATCATGTCCAAAACCACATTTATTCTTTGCAAATTGCTGCTCAAGGAGAAATGCCATCTCTGCAATTGATGACGAGCATTTTACTGAAGGACTGTAAGTCACGTGTGATACAAATGTGATGAGCAGAAGTAGCGTGATTGAAGTGGGATATATAACAATGAATATAAAACCAGGATGTCTGGGGAAGACAAGCTCTGCCACCACACAGTTTTATAATGAAATTGGAACCAGAAGGATTTGACATGTAAAATATGAAGGAAGATAATCTCATATTCATTTTAATTACACTTTTAAAATAACTTTGGAGAAATATTGGGTTTAAGTTAACTCTGTTTTTGTCAGTAGTTCCTCCACCATTTTCCTCAACATCTTACATTTTAGGTGGCAGTTTTTGTAGCAAGGGCTTGCAACATATACCCACTTTCTTTCCTTTTGAATTTGGGTCGAAAACAAAAGATTCCCAGGAACTTTCAGCACATGATGATGTTTTCAGGTAAGTGCTATTTTGGTATTTTTCCTGTCCATATTTAACAACTGGCAAAAATAGTCATCTATCATTAGGAAAAGCCACATCTATCACAAAGAAGTCATTATCTTAAAACTCAGGATAGTCTCTTCAAAGCTACTGAAGAAAATGGATGTATTCTCATGAACTTCACTGTGCTGGACCTATTTTAATTAACTTTTTGGAAGCCTACCACCCAGGAAGCCATTATATCAACCCATTGTCCCCCACATGTCTACCCTTCCATGACAATTCAAGAATACCGCATTTTTTTGTTGTGTTTTTTCAGAGGCACTTGTAGTATACCTGACACTATGCTTATGTACCAGCAAATAAATATCCAGCTTTGAAGGTGTCAGTACTTACCCTCAAGTCAGACGCAATCTTTGGCAAGTCCTTTAACTTCAGGAACAGTTTTACTTTGAAACATGAGACTAGGAGGCTCTAATTCCACAGACCTTTTCCTATGTGTTCCAGCCTGATATTTGAATGCTTTATTTCCCAAATTCAGCTTTTACTGATTTTTAACTCTGGGTAACGTAGTAGAATAACAAAAAAAATCCAGAAGAGGGAGCCACGTTCTACTCCTGTTTGTGCATCATCCCATGAACTCTTAAAATCTGAGCTGGATTCTATATTTTTGGACTTCCACAAGCTAGAAATACCTCCACTTGATTTTTCTTATGCTAGTTAGGAAAAACTCACTTATAAGCTAGGAATATTTGTTCAGTAAAAGACAGAAACACAAATCCCCCAATGCCATTTATGAAATAATTTTCTAAAATTAGAAAGTCAGCACCTTTTTTTGTTTTCCTTCTTTTCCCTGCTTTTTATGCAAAAACCTACTCCAGATTTTTTATGGATAAAAGTTCTTGATTGAGACCCTTGATGTACACTGATCTATTTAGCCAGATAACAAGTAAAATACAGTGCGCCACATTTCAAGCTTCCTCATCAGGACTACTCCACATCAGGGTGCCTCATTTATGCCAATATAATTCCATCTCTCTAGAGAGCAACACAGTAGTTCATTTCTATATCTATTCAATCCTTCTGCTAAAAGCTGCCATTGAAAATGTCAGTTAATACCAGCTAGATTGTAGTGAGAGATGATGTCATACATCCATTAGGAACTGGCTTTCAGACCACCTGCTCACCTACAATTGTTAGCTGTGTAAGATGTATATGTAGATCACTCCAGTAAAGCTAGCAGGTGGCCAACTAAGACAACAGCGTGAAATATAGCTTCATATAATTAGTTACCTAGTTTCTGGGCCCCATTTTTGCTTTTATTTTTTCATCAGATAAAGTACAGGATGCAAAATCTTCTAAAATATTTCTTATTCTTCAAGTTTTCTGTCCTCATTTTCTCTAGTCAAATTTTGTTCTCCACAGAACTAGGAGCAGAAAGTAGCCTGCAGCCAACAACTGAACGTGAGAACTCACACTCACACATTAGCTTTCCAGGACAATCTGGCAGCTGAGAACTGAAAATAGTAGTATTGAAAACTTCTAAAATGTAAACGTTAAAATACTCAGAAAAGCAATTTTTAACTGTTTTCAAAGAAACACCGTATTTAGTAGAGAAAAATGTCTTTACAACATTATAAAAAAGTAAATGGCATCATCTTGCAAGTAGAGCAATAAAGACTGACTGCCTCTCACACTGCCAGCAGCTTCACACTTCACAGAACTCTTCGATGTGGGGATGTTCTGTGTAATTGTACTTTTTAATATGCACTAAGGTTTGTGCTTAGCTACCAATAACTTTCTTATTTACTATAAACTGATCATACTGTCTATACTGATAAACAGAGAAGACAATGGCTGCCAGAAGAGAGGCACATTTCTGATATGAGTAAACAAGGCATTGAATTTGAGTTTGGAGGAAGGCGCCTATTACTTACACAAGATCAGCAGCAATGTGCTAGTATAGCATCAGGTTCTAGTCTATCATCAGGGAAACTGGGCTTCAGTCACCACAGCATCACACATAGATGTAGAAAACAGTGAATTTGGTGTCTTACCATTACCAAATGCACCAAACATTTACTGCTTTCTTTACTGAGTTTTACTGCCATAATTGACCATCAATATCGAAGTATGAAAAAAGCAATTAAGGTCTGGCAAGTGCATTGTTGATTAGCATTTGAGTATACCTTACTCTGCAAAGAATTCTACTGAAGTCATTAAGTTCTACTTTTTGAAGAGTATTAATACATTTGAGAAAAGCTGGAAGAGTTAGGCTTGGCAGTGGATTATGTAGCATTTTGATTTATTACATTCATCTGTTTCCACCACCCCTCTAACAACACATTATGGAGGGTGGATTCACTTTTACAACTATGTTTAATTATGATTCCTGATAATATTTCATTGTAAATAAAAACCAGATTAGTCCTTGTATAATTAAGCCTGAGCTTCTCAAATTAAGTTCCACATGAGCTAAAATGAGCAGGCCTGTGGTCTATGCTCATGTGAAAAAGTAGTATTTTGACATCCTAAATTGTAAGGGAGCTATCAGTATACACTGGTGGCCTATGCTGCACAAAAAAATGCCTCATTTCAGCTCAGACTCTGCTATGCTGCCTTTAAGTGGTAATAAAATTAAAAGTGAAGGAAACTAAATAAATCCAGATGGACTTATTAGTGGCAATAACATGTTTGATATTTGGGCATCACTGCCACATTACCAGGAGGGGACTATTTCACAGGTACAGTACTGCACCTTCCACTTTTCTTCCAATATTTCTGTTTACTTTTTACTGTGATTTCCTGTTCTCTACAGCATAGAAATCGGTAAGAGAGAGGCTTGTGGGACACAGTGCTACAGGGGTGTTTGTTGTTAATAGAAGACATTACAGCAGCAGCGGAGTCTGAAAGGGTGGAACACAAGTGCAGAAGAAAAACAAAAAAGAATGCCTGTGTACAGGCAGCTGTTGTGCAGGCATTTACATCTGCACACTCATACATACATGGTGGTGGGAAGTGTCAAAATGAACTTTTCTGAGAAGATAGATATGAAAATAAATCAGCTAAAGAGAAAAGAAAGCAAGGAAGAAAAGAGCAGAGAACTACAGTTGAAATCAAAACACCAGATCTACATAGAGAAAGTCTCCTTTCCTGGCAGATTCTCTCCACACTACCCACAAAGAGTACTACCCTCAAAGGCTCCTCAGAGGAATGGGCTCAGAGCAATGTGTGTTCGTGGAGCATGAGCAAAGGATGGGTAACAGCCCAATAGGACACACCTTTTCTGTTCTAAGCTTAACCCAGGGATGGCTATCTTTGGAGGCCATGACATATTAAAGAATATCTATTTAAGATTAATCCCTAATAGCTGGCACAGCTAGCAGAAAAGTCTGGTAGGAAATTGTGATAAAGCCCAAAGGATGAATGGATCACCGCACAGATGTGGACCTGCTGTCAGTGTGGCAGCTCTGACAGATGCAGGGAGAGAATCTCTGCTAATGGTTCATCAGAGCTTTTTCCTTCTACCGCACCACTCTCTCCAAGTGTAGCTGAGGTACCAATGTCCATTGGAGCAAATCATTCCACCGTGCTTTATTGGTATTTTTCCCTGAGGTGTTACAGAAAACCTAACCTTCCTTATCTCCAGTCTATTTCAGTATCTCACCATCTTCTGAGATTGTTAAAATTACCTTCCTTCACTTGTGTTGTTACCTGGAATGTATTTTGATATATATGACAGTGTTCCTTGCTTCTCACTGAGTCACTACATTTGAGGTTATATGCATCTGCTTCCCACTGCTTTTGTTGGAAGCAAATGCTTTGTTCGATTATTTATATTACTTTAGACATGGTTTTAGTTGAAACTGAATTAGCTCTTATAGACCATGTTGAGCCTTTTATAAATGAAAAATGCAGTGAAGGCACTCACTATTTTTCTAAACTGAAGAAATACCCAGTCAGCACTCAAGTAGAGAGTCTTAATGACATATTAATTAACGATTTTTTTTTAATATGTCCTCTTGCCAAAAAAGATGTTCTAGATTTAATATTGTACATACCACTGCGGTGCAGTTGTGGAAAGCAGCATTGTTTTCCACCAAAACATAGCCACCAATAATTTAAGCATTTAACCTGGGCTAGTCATCCAGATTACCACTATAACTACAGGAAAAAGACCATTTCAGTAGTGGTTCATTCCCTTCTCAGATACACATTTAAAATGAGCTGATATATTTTTCCCCATAAGAAGAGTAAAGCATGTGCATCTTTAGAGATGTCTTTTTTATGTAAAAGCAAAGTCAAGGACAAGCCCACTTGTTGACTGCAGTGTTATTTTCATAAAAGCAGAGACTTTAAACCTGCTACCACTGACCATTTTCAGCAATTGTAACTACAGTCTGGTACTTCTTGCAGAAATGGCTTTGTGTTGTTCTCTGGATAAACTGTCCACCTTCTATACCGAGTAAGTCACGTTCTAGCTATGCAATCTTAAAGAGCTTTAGAGTTCTACTCCAAAAATAGCTGCATTTAGCAGCTGATTAAATGAGTCTGCATATACCTTCAGTGCCTTACAAGAGGTTTAATTATTAGATTTAATCTCTGGATACTTGCAAAGTAGTTTTTGGATTCTGTTGTATTGTACACATGCAATGGATTTGCTTTCTACATTTATTTTGTGGAAATTTTTTTTAGAAAACAGTAAATTTAAGTAGATAAATTAAAAGCATGGGAAAATGTAGAGTATTATTTGTGTTATGCATCCTGAGGGCTGGAGGCACTAGTGGGTTTTTTTCCCCCCACTTTTTTTAAATGTGTCACTCTGTGAGGACCTATTTAGTTAGCTTATTAGTAAGTATGGGGCTTTTTTTAAACTCTCTGTTAGCTGTTTTCTTCACATCTGTAAATTTTTGTTTATTCAGTCTCTGTAGGTGTATAATTTTACAACTATTACAATATTTCAAGTACACCAAGGGCTAAAAATCTACATTTATTCTGTATCACCTTTTAAAAACTAGTAATTGGTTTAAAGTTATAATTTTTCTGATTGTTCTCAGCACATTAAAAGATTTTTTTAAAAAATTAAAGAATTTTTTCAGGCAAGAAATGGGTAGCCTATTTTGGTACAGATTTTAATGCCAACCCCCTTTCTCACTTGCACCTGATTTCATGAGGAGTCCCACTGAAGTCAGTAAAACAGCACAGGGAATAGATTTCTTTTTTAGCATGCATAAAGTCCAGATTACAATTATTTGAGACAAAGGATTCAGTGGATGTAAAACAAATGTGTGATTATTTTGTGAATATGAGAGTACTTCCATTGTCCACTTTTGCAAAGTTGCCTACATTGCATTAAACACAATCCTTTCAATCAGCACAGTTCAGCATTTCATAAGTATGATCGTCTGAAAATTTCCTCTGCCCTTGGAATTGGATTCGGGCTGAAGAAGAAGAAAATTCTGTTTCTCAATCACATTAAGTTAATCTTTCTGGTCTTTTTTTTTTTTTTTTTTAGGTTTACGTGGTGCAATAGCATTTGCATTGGCTATTCAAGACACGGAATCCCAGCCCAAACAAATGATGTTTACAACAGCACTGCTTATTGTGTTTTTCACAGTCTGGGTATTCGGTGGGGGCACAACACCAATGCTCACGTGGCTTCAGATCAGGTTAGTACTCTCTTTACAGTGTTAACCATCATCAGAATGCAATCACTATGGATCAATCACTACATTCCTACATTTTTCTAAGGCTTACTTATATGCTTTTTAATAGAGATTTACAAGCACAAAAGAAGTATTTGGCTACCTGGTAGAAGCTCCAGGCCACAAGGAACAGTTTCTTCCCAAGTTCATTATGGGTTTGGACCTGGGTCAGACCCATCCTTATTTCACTACTTGTTTTACTACTGTTGCTTTTTAACACTGCGAATAAATGCTAGCAGTGTCCTCCTCACTATTGAAGAAAGAGCTATAAAGGCAGACTTTGCCCTCATCTAAAAATAAGTATTAATTATACAAACATATAATAAATTATGTATTTGATTATAACGTGAATATACTAGAAAATCTACCTGCATTGGTACATCATTCAGCCATTCATTTTAACTCATTGTTTTACATATGCTCCTTCACTATATTATTTTTTAAATTACTTTATAGTCACTTGTTTTCACCTACAGCAATGAATGACAAGGGAGTTTAAATGAGAGAAGAAAAGGAAATAGAAAGTTGGAATAAAGAGTATCTAATTTAAATGTAGTGTCCTGCCAAGTGTGCTTTTTTGAAACCCTGCTTTTAACAATAAGTGTGTAATGCTATTGCTGAGTTCTGGTTACTTCATAATCCCTTTGGAACTCACTGACATGGTTCATAAGGTCACCAAAAAAAAACCCTCAGTATCAAGATAGGCTTGTAATTCACAATTCCTTATCGTTTATTCTATATATAGCATATTCTTCCCTTGTTTATGAAATTATGTCTGATTAGCAAGCCTTCATGTCAGACTGTTGCTATAAAATACCAGCTGAAGATAACTAAATTGGAGCTTTAACAAAGAGCACAGATAAAAGCTTGCAGACAAAATAAGGACTAGTGTATAAGTGTACTGTATAAATGTAAAATGCAAGCATCCATATGCAATGTGGGGGCTGTCTATTTCTGTGACAGTTTGGTTCTTTTTCATGACATCTCTCTCATGTCCCATAACATCAGTCAAGTTCGTTACAGTTTGGATCCAGTCTGCCACTATCACCCATCTTTCTGAGATTTGCCACTTTTTCACTGTCTGTCAGCGATAGAGTTGCTCTATATGGTCAAAGAAATGTGGGTAAGAAGGAGTATTCACATTAGATCTTGTGGACCAAATGAGTTTGGATTGCTATAATAGGAGACTGAGGAATAATTTTGAGAATACAGTAAGGGGAAAAGGAGGTAGGCAGTAATCATGTGTCTAGTCTAAGGACTTTGGTCACTAGATGCCTGTCCTAGTCTAGTTCTCTAGGCAATTTTTAAATTAACATTGTCAAGTGCTTTCACTAAACAAGCAATTTAATTGGATGCAATGGCATTTCTTCTGCTACTTAGTACTACCCAGAGGTGGAAAGGCCCACAAGACCACAAGTGAAAGGCTGGCTCTCATATTAACTATTCATTCCATTCAATGCAAGCATGTGCTTCTCTCCTTACCCACCTGTACAACATATTTTACCAAAGACACTGAAAGTAGGCAGTCATTACTGGTCTGAAATGCTCATCTCTCTGGGGATCTCCTCTGAATACCAGCAGATCTGCCAGGGATATTTACCAATCAAAGAATTTGGTTTTGTAACCGGGATATAGATTTTCTTACTATAAAGCTATTAGGTGTACAATTGCCACTTAATTTCTTGACATCAGAACATACATCTTCATAAATTATGGGTTTGTGGTCAAACTGAGATAAAACTTTAAACAGATATCTTTAATTACAAATGTATCTTGAGGATCTGACTTCTCTTTCTAGTGAATATATTTAACTTTGTAATTTATTACACTTCAGTATGGAATTTTGTCCTTAGCTACCAGCATTTGTCATTTTAGTCTTAAGTAATTTTGCTAAGTAATTTTATTTAATGGTGGTGGTAACTAATGCCATACAGTTGATACCTGTATGGATTCTAGCAGACTTGGGTTTGCTGAGAGTTATGGGGCTGCTCCAAATGACACGACCTTGCTTGGTGTACTACGCCCAGTATGCTTGCGGCTGTGCCTGAACAGCAATTCTGAGCTGTATCTGTATCCACATTTTTTCTTATAAAATTAGACAAGAGAGATTGTATTTTTCATGCTAGTTTGGAAGGTTCATCTCACAAAGCCAAGGGAAATTGTATTATGAGTACAAAAACTATATGATCGCCTGTGAAGAGACGCATTGGAACAGATTGGTATGCCATCAATTACAGAAAAAAGGGATGAAGCCAGTGAAATGCTGCAACTATGTCTGTTAAGTACAGAAGAGGGAGACTGGTCTCACACTAGCTCCTAAGTGTTCAGTTGGTGTGAACTTACATCAGGCACCGTCCCAGGGCAGTTGGAAACCACTTCTGTGCAATTCCCCTGTGCTTTAGGGAGCCAGATTTACCACTATTGTTCAAATCTAAAGCACAGTGCAAGATCAGTTAATCTAAACAACTAAAAAATAAAGTTATTCACATTATCAAAACTAAGTACTTCCAGGAAATTAAAAATATATGAATGCCTGCTTTAAGGTCACAGTGAATATGCTGGATTTCCCTATGTAATCTATAAGTTGCTGCTTAGGTAAACCTTCTCAAGAGACAGGAATGGTCAAAAATACAGTGATCAAGAAAATAACAATCCAAAGTTGAGTGTGGGGGGTTTTGCCAATTAACCATTTCATCATAAAATTATTATCCAGCAGGTAATGTATTTAATTGAACAGGAAGCATTCAGAGGACAATAAAGAGGAATGTGTGGATTCTGTGTCTATTTGGATGAATTTAATCTTATGCACATATGTTTTAGTTTGTGCCACTCTAGCTATGTGGAATAGGCTACAGTTCCTACCAGTAGTTCAGGAGATACAACTCAACTCCTCAAGGCTGATCAAACTAGTCTTATCCTAGAGATAAGTGCTTGAGTTTATATGTTACAGACCAACTTATCCACATTTTAGTTTTAAAACATAAATCTATCATTCATTAATTTGAAGATACATAAAAATCACATAAATTACAAACAACTAACACTAATATATTTACCATTTGCTCTATCATAATGCATTACAGTGTTAGTCAAGGTAAAAGACAGTATTCAAGATCTGTACAGCCTTCTTATTGTATATTATTATCTACATATTATACTATGTTTCAATGATTTATTACACTCTCCATAATTTATATTGTGAAATTCTCATAAAGGTGGCCAAGACTGCTCGTATATCGAGTATAGGGGAATAGAACAATGACAATTTTTAAATAGTAGTAGTAATAATCTGAAAAATCAATCTTCGTTTCCAAAATAACTGGAATTTCCATAATCTCCCACCTCTCCTCACAGCAATAGCATCCAATCTGCTTTTCTTTTTTTTTTTCCAGTTAAAATTCAACTTAATGTAAACATAATCTGTCACTCTAATTTTAAAGAAAAGATGAAGATGTGTCCTCAGAGATAACTACCAGCTGGTTTATTCCAGGAATATGCATAGCTTATACAACACTTGCAAATTGTTGCCAAAACATGTAGTAAGATATATTATCAAAACTAACCATGTGCTACAGAAAAAGGCTCCATTTCTATCTCCCATTTAATGCAGCAATATCGCTCAACTGTCTCACAAGGTTGCAGAGGCCAGCTGTGCTGAGAGCTTTTGTAAAAAGAAGCTTAAATGGATCCCAGAAGTTCACCCAAGTTTGTTAAGGTTCACAGTTCTAGATCCCTTCATTTAACAAATTATATTGAAACATATGCTCCTACTTAAACTATAGCTTGAATGTAAGAAAGGTTCTTAAAGCCTTGGAAATATGAGCTGCTAATGGCAGAATTTATGTCTACATGTCTCTATATGTCAAAATAGAGTTTTAAAAGAAATCCATACCAATCGTTCTCATTATTTTACTAGTATATTTACGTATACAGAATAGCCTTCAAAATGAGTCTTCATATTCTTGGCAAAGCCTGAATACTTTTTAACTTTGTTCTAAAAGAATGAGACATATATTTTCAGAAAAATCTTATTTATTTTAGCTATCTCACTTTTTAGATACCTGAAACTCTGAGTTTCAGGAAATGTTGAGTGTTTCCTTCCTGAAAATCGGGTCCCATTTAAATGTTCCCAGTTGTCTGGCGCAGTAACACAACATTTCTGAGCAGAGAGGCATACACACAGTCTATTACAGCGTTATCAGCTAGCATTCTGAGAGCAGAATCGGTTGCACCACATTCCTAAATAATACATTGTCTTTTGGCTTATCTGAGAGTTATAACTAGAAAAAAATTGCCTTTACTCCCCATGTGAAAGGACTACAATATACGGCTCTTGACAGACAATGAATAAACCTGCACCAGTGTATGAGAATAATATCATGATACATCAACAGCAAAACAAAGATAGCCATTAAGCATGAGTTCACAGTCAAATTGAAGTATTCAATAAATGTGCCTTCAGAGACATCGAGTATTACCTGCTAATGCTTTTGGATATATGTCTCCCTTCATTCTCCATACTCTGATTAAAAATAGAGAGCTACATTTTACAGTAAATCTGCGATGAGAGGTTTGGGGATAAAGGATTCTCCTGACAGGCAGAGCAAAAATACAAAGCTGTTAATAAAACATGTCCTATAAAAGCATTGTGCTAGGTATTAGGGCCTGTTTGTTTATCATCACCTCCTGTGTAAGTGTTTGTCAAGGGATTTCCAGAGTCTCTGTGCATTTCTTTGCAGCAGTTCTTCAGTAAATAAGGAGATTTTTATTCCATATTCTGAATAAATACTAAGCAGCATTGAATAGTAACTTAATACCATCCTCTCTGGCCATTGCCTTCGGCATGTATTTTAGAAACTGGCTATGCCTATGTGCCTGGCTGCCCTTAAAAACATGCCATCTCTTGTTCACCTAAAACTTCAGTTCCAAACCTCTAAATTCCTCTAAATACTAATGCCAGATTT